TGCGGGACGGCATGTGCCAGGCCTGGGGCAACCCCAGCAGCTCCCACCCTGCAGGTAGGGACCTGGGGGAGCTGCCATGTTAGCTCCCTGCTGTGGCTGGGCCAAGCCCCGTGGCCATGGGAGCCCATGGCAGAGCTGCCGGGCCTCATCCCGCAGGCAGGAAGGCAAAGGAGCTCATCGGCAGTGCTCGGGAAAGCCTGGCGAGGATGGTGGGAGGCCGGCCGGAGGACATTGTCTTCACCTCAGGGGGCACAGAGGTGGGAGTGGCCGCGATCTCTGTGCGGGGCGGTGACCCCCCTTCCTGGCCGCCCCTGCCCGCCACCTCCTCTCAAGCAAGCAGCGATGAGGAGGGTGGGGACGAAGGGCGCTGTGCTCCCTCTGGGCCTTCATTTTCCCCTCTGCCTTCCTCTCTTCAGGCAAACAACATGGTGATCCACACTGCCCGCAGGCACTTCCACGAAAGCCAGGCCAGGCTGGGGGACAGCTGGGGGACACCGCACATTGTGACGTCGAGCGTGGAGCACGACTCCATCCGCCTGCCACTGGAGCAGCTGGTGAAGGAGAGCCTGGCGGGTGAGCGGCAGAGGGACCACAGGGGACATGCTGGGGATGTCTGGCCGCAGACTGGGGTTTCCGAGGGGGGGTTTCTCTGCTGGCATTTTTGTGGAGGAGGGTGGAGACCCGCTTGCTCCATGATGTTCCCCTTTCTCCCCGCAAAGGGCACTGACTCCCCACATAGTGCCCCCATTCCCTCAAGCTGGGTGCATTACCCTGTTGGCATTCAAGGCCGGCCCCAAGAGCCGCCATGGTCTCTGCCTGCGCACCAGCTACCCACACAACTTTCCTGCCCGCTCAGTGGGGCGCAGGCAGCCCTGGGCACTGTCGGGCTTCCCAGCAAACCTCAGGGCTTGTTTCTTGGCTTGAAGAAACCACCTTCGTGCCTGTGTCCCCACGAAGCGGGCGTGCTGAGGTAGATGATGTCTTTGCCGCCATCCGGCCGACCACCTGCCTGGTTTCCATCATGTTGGCCAATAATGAGACTGGGGTCATCATGGTGAGTCTGTGGGCAGCAAGTGGCACGGGGTGGGGACATCCTCGCAAAAAGGTGCTTGATAAGGGGGAGCAGACGGTCCCTGGGACGCAGACCCTCTTCCCTCCCGCCAGCCTGTCGCGGAGCTGAGCCAGCGCGTCCATGCTCTTAATCAGCAGAGAGCGGTGGAGGGGCTGCCCAGGATCCTGGTGCACACGGATGCGGCGCAGATGATTGGCAAGGGGCGTGTGGACGTGCAGGAGCTGGGGGTGGACTACCTCACCATTGTGGGACACAAGGTATGGCCCTGTTCACGTGGTCCAGCTGCTGTTCACCCTCTAAGACATCTCTATTGGGGTGCCAGGGAGACTTTGGGTGCCCCCCACAGCTTGATACCTCATCAGTGGCCAAAGTTTTCCTGCTGGATGGTGCTCTGAAGACAGTCTTCAGCTGGGTGACAAGGCTCCTGCGAGTCAGGGAGACCTGTCTGGAAGGGGGAGCAGGAGGAGGCCAAGGGCAGGGGACAACTCTGCAGCAGCCTGTGCCTGTGAGATGGGCAGGGGTCAGCACTGGAGGGCACTCGGATTTGGGCAGGAGTACAGGAAAGGGACAGCTGGCAGGGTCTCCAGGGTCACCGCAGCTGTTTCTCCCCACAGTTCTACGGCCCACGGATTGGCGCGCTGTATGTGTGTGGCCCCGGCACCACCACCCCACTGCACCCCATGCTCTTCGGAGGGGGACAGGAGAGGAGTTTCCGGCCAGGGTAAGGTGGCTGGGTGTGGCCCAGAGAGCTGGACCTTGGGCTGGTGGCCAAACCATGCGTGGCTACTTGGTCCGAGCTGAACTGGCAGCTGTGTCACCTGCCAGCCCTGGGGCAGGCAGCCCAGCGCAGGGAGATGGATCCATGTGTGGGAACTGTGGGAGCCTGGTGCACAGGCTTTGCCACGGGAGGAACCACAGGGTGGAACCGCCCCCTTCCCAACCACCTCAGAGAGGTGTCCAGGACCCCCTGCCAGCAGTGAGGGGTCCCACGTGGGGAATGTCTGTGCCCCGAGGTTGGGTTTCTGGTCCGGAGAAATAACTCACTGCTCCCTCTTCCCTTCCAGCACTGAGAACACCCCAATGATCGCCGGCCTTGGCCAGGTAAGTCATGGGTGAGCGGTTCCCTGGGGGTGCTGCATGGCGGAGCCAGCATGGAGACAGTCACTTGTGCTCCCCGGTCATTAGAATTGACAATCTCGGGGTGCAGGAGGGCGGGCGAACTACCAGGAAAGGAGATGGGGCTTTCTGGTGCCAGTTAAAGGAGGTGCTTCGGAGCACTTGCTGCAGGCTTTGCAGCCCTGGCAGTGGGCAGTCACACAGCTCATGTGGTGCAAGGCACCGAGAGACTGTTGGGGGATGCCGGGGACCTGGCAATTGCAGAGGCTGTTCCCAGGCTGGACTCACATGCCAGGGGGCTGCACGTGGAGGGAGGTGTCAGGGGGTCGCTGATGGAGCCTGTCTGGGTTTTCTTTCCTCAGGCTGCAGAGTTAGTGAGCAAGAACTGGGAGGCCTACGAGGCTCATATGCGGGATGTTCGGGATTACCTGGAGGCCAGACTGGAGGTGAGCAGACCTGGTTCCTGTTTGTCTTTCCCCTCCCAGGGTCTCAGCCTGCAGAGTGTGGGGCCTGGAGCCAGGGTGGGTATGTCCCTCTGGCCCTGCCACCTCCTCATCAGGACAGAGCTGCTCATGATCCCAGAGCAGTTCACAGCCCTCTGATTTCTCAGGCCGCCTTTGGGAAGCAGAGGATCCACCTCAACAGCCACTTTACAGGCTCCAAGCGACTCTGCAACACCTCTAACTTCTCAATCCTGGGCCCAGGCCTTCAAGGTAGCTCTTACCCCACCACTGCCCCGTGATGGTGCCCATGGAGGCAAGCACCTGTCCTGCACAGCACCCTGCAGCTAGAGACCGGCGGGCGCTTGGCCGTGGCTTGGGCAGGGAGATGAGGCAGGCAGCAGCCCTGGGAGAGCCTGGGCGCTGGGAGACCTCTGCTTGTGTGTGCTGCAGGGCGAAGGGTGCTGTCTCACTGCAAGATGCTTCTTGCCAGCGTTGGGGCTGCCTGCCACTCTGAGAAAGGGGATCGGTAAGCAGCTGGCTTTGCCAGGCCCAGGGTGTCTTCTCAGAGGAGTGCGGGTGGGAGGGAGGGAAACAGGACAGGGAAAGTGACCGTTGGTAGCTGTGGGCAGCGGCACCTGGAGCGGCACCCAAGGGTGCAGAGCTTTCCAGAGGGGCTGAAGGGCTGCAAAGGAGGTTATTGCAGGAGGCACAGCTGGAACGCTTGACTGCTGCTTGGAAGGACTTTGTCCCTCCTGGCTTTGGGGATCCAGGTGAGCTTGGAAGTACACTTCAATGCCTGGCACTGCCAGAAGACAGTCTGCCTTATGTCCGTGTGTACCTGGCTCACCTGCTCAAGCCCAATTTAAGTCTCCAGCAGGCTCCTTTGGGGGGGTGTGAGGACAGCAGGTGCTTTTGGCCTGGTCTAGAGCAATGCCCTGTAGACATGGCAGAGCTGCCAACCCATGGGGACATGGGAGAGGTTCTTCCTTGGAGGGGAAGAACCAGATCCATCGTAGGGCAACAAGCCCAGTGGGAGCAGGTGCCTTTGGAAAGGGAGCAGGGCACTGTGCAGGAGACAGGTTTGCCTGGTGTGCATCTGCAGATGTGCTCCCTCTTACGGCTTGGTGAAGCTTTCTGGTGACGCACGTGCTTCCTCAGCCTTCAAGTTAAACCCACTCACCCTCATGTCTGTTTCAGGCCCTCCTCAATTCTGCTCAGCTGCGGGATCCCCTACAACGTGGCGCAGAATGCCTTGCGGCTGAGCGTAGGGCGAGACACCACCCGGGCAGACGTGGACCTGGTTGTGCAGGACCTTGTGCAGGCTGTGGCGCAGCTGGACCAGGACCAAGCCCTGTAGACCCCGGGAATCGCTCCCTGGCTATCACCCAGGTTCTCGGGACGGGATTATGCCCTGCTTGGCCCCAGGGTGCTGGCTGCCTGTATCAGTTTGGGCTCAGGTTTTGGCAGGATTAGTTTTGCACCTGATCCCCAAGTCGAACTGGCCCAGCCTGCAGTTTGTGATCATGGATCAGACGTTGAGGAAGTGGCGGCTGGTGGTGGCAGGAGGAGGAAGTGGGATTGCCCGTTTCGGCAGCAATGTGCTCTTAGGTCTGCTTAGCCATATATCAGCTTGCGCTAACAAGGATCACAGCGGGGCTGGCACAGCTCTGCAGCACGTGTGGCTCAAGCAGAGAAGCTAGCACAGGCGCTGGAGGCAGCAGGGAGCTGTGCTGAGGAGGGGGCTTTGCTGCTTTGGGGCTGGGGCAGCTCATCAAGAGCTTGCTCAGGGCTCTGTCATCCCCACTGCACAGTGCAGGCATTCGCAGAGTCTTGCCGTCGCGTGCTCCTCGCTTGCCAGCATATACCCAGCTGGCTGTGTGCATGTTGGAATGATGGAGTCTCAAAGCTTGACTCCCTCCAGAGCTAACAGGCGTGGAAGCTATAGATGGAGCCTTTTGCCCTGGTTGCTTTCCACAAAGGAAACTTTCCCGTTGTCTTATCACTCAGAGGAGGAAAGACTATCTGCCCCAGAGGGAAACAAGGAGTTGATAGAAGCACAGCAAGATTCTGGGCTGGGAACTGCCTTGCCCCTGCCAGGGCCCTAAGCTACCAAAGGGTTTTTCGGCTGGGAAGGTGTCAGGCATGGCTTTCCCAGCACTGCGTTGCTTTACCTACTCCCCTTCCTCCTGTTCTTCCTACAGTGGGCAGAGCTCCTGCTGCCAGCTCCATGTGCTCCTAAAGGAAACAGAGTTGTCGGGGCAGCCATAACTGTGCCAGCACCTGAGGAAACGCGTCTTCCCTGTGTGGCTGAGGCAGTCACTCTCATCACCGACACAGGATGACACAAGTGTCACACGGATTAGGAGCATTGCCAGCTGGGCTGACTGATGCTGGGGAACTTGGTCTCCCTGGGTATTCATAGGAATAAAAGTGATTGCTGCTGCTGTGGCTTTTTCCCAAGTAAAATGTTATTTTCCATGGTGTTTTCCGTGGGGGAAGCTAGACTGGTTGGGGTCACCTGGGCAATGTCTTTTCCCTCAGAAAATGCTCATGTCCCAGAACAGAGGCACAGTCCACTGGAGCGGGGAGGTGCCCGCTGGTCCAGGTTGGCATGGAGTCCATGGACACAGATTCTTAGACGCTGGTCTTTCTCTTTACTAGCCATAGATTAGCACGGCAAGGAATACTATTTGGAACCAGAAAACCCCCGGGGCTTTCTGTAGATCTCATTTCTAACTGAAGTGTTAGGACCCAAGCACACTGACTTAAAGTCACTGGATGCCTGTCAGGCTGTTCAGTGTTACCACTGCTGCTCACACCTCAATCTGAAATGCAATCTTTTCCCTTTTTTTCTTCCCTTGCATAATAGTCAAAACCTCTTTTAGAAAAAGTAGTTCCATAGAGAGAATATTGCTCTGCTTCAGGGATAGATCTTTTATCTATCATGGACCTTTCTTTCACAGCTGTGGCACAACTGGAGATCCAGTTTTTGGGGCTCTCCTTCCCCCACAGGAGGTCCAGGCTTCCTGCATTGATTCAGACAGAAATTTAACCACAGAGCACAAAAAACTTTACTGACTTATTCTTTATACACACATGAAATGCAAGTTTTAACCACAGAAATACTAGCATTAGTTCATTTAGAATATTGCAGCCAAAGCATAAGAAGCGTTACAGAGGATATGAATACTCTGGGTGACCATTTTAATGGTTTTACTGTTCATTTTCCTACTACCACACTGCACAGGAGTGAGAGTCACTAGTGAATTCCTCTGTCTCCGTATTGCCTTATCCAGGGAAGGTGAGGAAGAACATGCCTATGACTTGGCCTGCACTTCTGTGGGCCAGTCTGTGCTTCCGCTCACACGTCCTACATGCTGGAGACAAATAGCCTTTTCTCATATGGCAAAATGTCAGTGGTTGTACACATTAGAACAAATTCACCTGTCATGGAAGTCTGGAAATACCAACATTGCTACATCAGCTGTGAATTTAAAAGTAGAGAGAGGACCTGGCCACTATGCTAGAACACCACAGAGTTGAAATATGTTCCTTTGACGTGGTCACATAGCCAGAATTGGATGGTAAAACCACAATTCATTTAATGGAAGAATCCACAATCTCCTGATAATCTTGTCTTCCTAAATTCTTCCAAGACAGTTTATAACACGCAAGGAAAAAAACACTAACCAAAATAACCGCTCCCCCAACAAGATCATAAGCACCTGGGAAGATCCGCAACACGACAAGCTGCAGGACCATGGCGATGACTATTTCCAGGTGCTGTACGGTGCTGACCAAAGCCGGGTGGAACTTGCTCAGGGCGTAGTAGACCCCCAGGAAGGCTGCTGTGGAGCACAGGCAGATGGCAAGGAGATAGCTCCAGGTTTCTCCATCCAGTGGGACGATTGGCTCTTGAAGTAAGAACATGGTGGATGCTCCCCACACTGTTCCCGTCCAGCTAAAGGTGAATAGTGCTGTCCACATGCTGATGTTATCTTTGATTGACCTATAGACTATCATGGAGAGAGCAGTGGTCAAACCTGCCATAACAGTCATGGTATAGCCAAAAGCTTCCTTCCAGGTGCTCAGCAAAGAGTTTTCTTCCTTAACAATGTTGGGGATCATGACCAGACAAACGCCAAACACGCTGCCAACTACAGTAATTATGTCAACATAAGCCATTCCTTCATCTACGAGTAAAAAAGCCAAAATGGCACTGAACACTGTAGTGGTAGCCCTCCACATAATGGTCCCATTGCTGGGGGGAACTATAGAGAAGGAAGTATAAGCACAGGTAATAGAGATGACATTGCAGACCCCATAGAAGAAGAGTCGGAGTCTGTGGCCTTTGGGGCCAAAGGGAGGCTCATGGTAATAACACACAACAGTAATGGACAGCACCTGTAAGACTGAACGGATGAAAATTAACTCTAGGGATGGCACTTTGGAACGATCAGAAATTAATCTTGTAATTAGAGCCACACATCCATGAGCCACGGCAGATCCAAAAAGGACTACCCACGTTTTCCTAGACTGCAGTATATTTCCTTCAGGAAAATGCTGGAATTGCCCAATCTCATCGGGTTTTGGCAGTTGTGCTGGCTGAAGCTTTGTGTCTATTGTACCGAAAAAGGTCCTTTCTCTCTTTTTCCCATCATTCAGTAGTCTTTTCTTAGGATTATCCTCCATAAATACTCCAGTATCTTCATTAACATCCTCATAGCCCTCTTCTCCTGGCTGGGGATAATGAGAAGTATATTTCACCGTTACTGTGTTGGGATGAATTTTCACTCGCTTTTTGACTGGGTATTTTTGGGAAGACGTATCCATTTCCTCAGAAACGTCCTGGTCTTAAGAAAAAAATGGAGAAGCACTGTTATTTTTATTTAATAAATAGCGAGAGATTCATTAGTATGTAAATGCTGTTAGTGTTTACAAGCTATTTTTATCAATTAAGTCCAAGTACTAGTAGATTGTTCTTGGTTTTGCTTTAATTTTCTGGTGAGTTACTGCTAAATACCATTGATAGGCCATTTGGATCTCCTTAAAAGCCAACCGTGGAACTTCATTTTAGTCACTAGTTTTTGAAAATGACATATATTCTCATTACGTGTAGTACATATAATGCATTCTAGTATATTCTTATTCTAATGAGAAAGTTCTCTTGCTAAGCTTTTTGGACAGTAAATACCCTGTAATTATGAATTAGACTTATTATTAATTGCTCGCTAATGTTACAAGATTACGGAAGAAATTTGGCTGGAGGAGATGATCGCCTTGTTTCTAAACTGACAGAGAGCAACACAGGGAAATAGGGAGTATCCCCGAGCAAGTCAGCATGGTTAGCATATGAATAAACAACACATTTTTGAACAATACTTTGACAGTGTTAAAAATTCCTTCTTCTTTTCACATCCTTTTATTTCCAGTGATTGATTTTGCAACAGATTTGTTCTTCAAATCTGATTTTTTTTTAATGGGGAAAATTTAGAAGGACTGATCCAGACTACTAACTAGACCTTCCCGTGGCAGACATTTAAAAACCACAGCAACAAAACCACCACCCTTTTGTCTCCCACTGAAGGTCCATTTCACACTACACAAGCAGTGTGAGCTCTCCCCTCGGTGCCCCCGATTTGTGCACACCACCGTGACACATGTAGCAACACACGTGGCACTGCTGCATGTGTCACAACGGCAGCATCAGCCTCCCAAAACAAGCAAGCAATCCCTTCACGCACCCAGCCTTCACCAGCACAAATGCCACTTGGTCTCTGCTGTCACAGGTGTGTGCAGCCTGCCCACAGGGAGCCCACCTGTGCCCTTAATTCCCTCCAGCTCTCCGCTGAGCTTGCCATTGCTGTCCCCAGGCCCAGCGTGACAGCACTGGGTCAGTTTAATTCAGGCACAGGGATGTCATTGAGATTACTTTGTTTCCACAGCGCCCTCCACCATCTGCGCAAAGAGCCCTTCCAAATGAAGTGGCAGCAGGAGAAATGCAACCTTCCCTGCCTTCTATTCTCCCCAGCAAATAAACACATGCAGACCTTACCTGCGACTGAGAAATTTAATCCCAAGCCAGAAGGGGAAAACACCTCTTGGTCATCTACATCTTTGTCCGGGTGTCTAAACAGAAACAGTAGATGCTCTCAGATACCAAATAGGAAAGGTTACAATCATCTCAGCACAGAAAGTAATACCCGAGGGAGGCATGAAACATTCTGCTTGTTTTTCAAAGTTGAAAATTTGAGAAGCACTAGCATGACTTTGAGGCCATGCTCCTTGGGAACTGGCAACCCTGGTGCATTGTTAGGAAAAAAAACACCACCATAAAACCCAAAAAACTTTAGATGGAGAGAAAGCAATCAGTGTCATCTTGCCAAAATCACTCCTCAGCCATCTCTCAGAATTATTGATGGGACTAATCCAAAGAACAAGTGGCAGTTTTGTGAGTGTAAGGTTCCTACAGGTTAGTAACAAGAAAATTCACCATCCCATGCCTGCTGTACTGCTTTACCAGTGCTGCGGAGGAGAGGATGCCCAGGAGGACCCATCCTCTGGATCAAGTCATCCATCCCCAGAAGCCAAGCCCAGCCCTGCAGGCAGCAGCAGTTTGACCTCAGTGGTGTCAGCACGGGATGGGTATGGACAACCCTGCAGTCCTTGTCTGCAGGGAGTACCGAAGCACCACAGCAGGTGGGTCCTGAAGGTGCAAGACCACAGCTGAGTGGACAATCGGGCTGAACAGCACGACGGTGGTTTGTCAGGGAGACCACAGATCAAAAGAGAATGTAAAAGTGGGTGCAATAGCTCTTCACAGAAATACTTTAAAAATATCGTGGCCAGGTTCAGCCTTTGCATTTTCTCCATCCATAATCTGTGACAGCCAAGCACTGCCTGTCTCCTGGCAAAAATAATTTACATAAGAATAGGACATTCTTCCTTCTTCCTCACAGGCTAAGTGTTTATTGAACCCCTGCTACACCCAAGCTAAGCTGTAGCCTACTTCTCGCAGGTAGAGTGTATCCCTGGTAGGGATCACGATGAATGGGAGTGGGGAGAGGGGCAGGCACCGAGTCCCAGCTCTGGAGGAAGGCAGCAGCACCAGTTTGGACCTGCATAAGTAAGTGAGGTATCCTGGGGCACCACCTTACTTTTGGTTTGGCAGACTACACTCCCAGCCCTGAGATACCTCACTGAAGCAGAGATTGGTAGACGTTAGAGGGTCTGAGGACAAGAAACACCCTTGTCTATGCAGGAGGCCTTGTGCTAGTACTCCTGTTC